AGATTAACAGCAGCTTTGAATTTCATTTTCATTTATTTCGAATAAGTTTATTTCGAATAGATAAATAAAAATTTATTTGATAAATAATTTCAATTTACAATAAATAATCAAATAAATATCAATATTTTGTCGACGTTTCGAAGGCTAATCCTTCATTATCAAGACGTGATGGTAAAAGGCGAGAGAGAGGAAAGAGAAGAGAACAAGTTAAAGAACAGAATAGAAAGAACGAAGAAATGTGTTAACACGTTGTCGCTCGTAGTAGAAAATCAGAGGATCGATGCACGTGGGATGAAGTCTGAATTACGATATTTCGTAAGACTAGATATCAACCAGTGACAGTGAATCCAACGTTGATCTTATCTTGATTTTAGGCTTAAATGACATTAGACCTTCCGGAAAGACTACTAACGGTACTGAGCTCGTTGTTCTGTTTAGATTAGGTTGAAGGCTGTTAATGAGTAGAGATTCTTTAACTAGCAATTGGTAATTTTTGTTGTCTTTAGCTAAGATGTTAAAATTGGTCCAGTCAATGTGGTGGTTGTTATTCAACTCATGCTGTTTAACTGCTGATTGAGTAAGTGTGTTATGTGCAAGAGGTCTTGCTTCAACTGTTGTTTTAGGAAAGTATTGAACAGCTTTGTTTTTATTTCGATCTGATCGTCTTAGTGGTAAGGAATCAGCGTTTGAATTAAACGGAATTATGTCAGGTTGTGGATTTAGATCGAGTGTTGCTCCATGTTCGTGAAGTCTTCTGCTTACGTGTCGTACTGTCTTACCAATGTAAGTAGCATCACAATCAGAACAATTCAATTCGTATACAACTCGAGATTTGATTAATTTAGGTACAGGATCTTTGAGTGGAAAATACTGGGAGAGAGAACATGACGGTCTTTGAATCGGTTGAAGATCAACATTTGGATCGATAGCTTTGGTTAGTTTGGTTATTTGTTTTTTAAAAACATCTGTTGCTTTACCGACGAAAGGTATGTCGAGAAAAACGTGTTTTCTGTTGAGCAGTGAGTCGTTGTCGATTGTCTTTTTCTCTTTAGAATCAAAAGCAACTGTTATATTGGACTTTTATATATATCTATTCAAAGTTTTGCGTATTTGTGCTTTAACGAAATTGATTGGATAGCCGTTTAAAAGACTGATGTACTCGATGAATTCAAATTCTTCATGCAACAACTGGTAAGATGAACAAATTCTAATAGCTCTATAGATCATGCTACTCAAAGTACTGATTTTGTAAGAATACGGCACAAATGAATTCCATTTAGTTAGTAATCCGGTGAAGGTAGGTTTTCTATAGATAGTTGTTGAAAAAGAATCAGTGAGTTTTGTTGTATTTGTAGTATGTGTGTCAACTTGTGTTGATGTATTATTTAAGATGGAAATGATTGGAAACATAGAAAGAGTGTTATTTAGGTTAGTCGAGTGTTTGTTGTTGACGTTCGATAGTGAAACGTCATCGATTGTGTTACGAATCGTGCGATTATCAGGAGTGATTGGACAAATGAGTTTCTGATTATCAATTGAAATAATTGTTTGAAGATCATTTATAGAGCTAGCAAAAGTAACGCTTGAATGGTTAGGTAAATTATCGTCAGTATCGTGAGCAAGAGACTTGGAAATCAATTTCTTATCCGAGCCAATTTTTAGGTTCGCAAAAATCGTTTTATTGGATTGGTTCGTCAATTGGTTAGTGATGTTATTCGTCGCAGCGGCTACGACGTTATTGTTAGATGCATTGTCACGATTGAATGGTAAAATCGTATTAGTCAAATTAATTGAATTAGTTAACAATTTGTTTTTAGAATTCAACAGCGAATTGGTGAAGGAGACAATTTTTGGATTACAACTAAACAAACCCGACGTCATATTGTTAAATGAGCGATTATGAAGATTAGAGGAATTAATTGTGTGTGCATTAGTATATCTCAACCTTGATGTTACATTCGATTTACAATTATACGTGGTATTCAAGTTATACCTCGATTTCTCACTCAATTGTTGATTTGATTTGTAGGTCGGTCGATTTGTTGAATTCTTGTATAAATGGTCGGATTGGAAGTTGGATATCAAGTTATGGTTATCTGTTGGTGTTACGGTCGATTCGTTATTCAAGCTGATATTCGAATTCACGGCGAATTTAACGGTTGGTTGTCGTTCAGTTGATTTGTTATCGGATGTATCAAAGTGATTTTCTACTGAAACATTCGAATAAAGTGTTGGTGATTGAATGTGTTCACGAGTCAATCGAATATTCAAATTCTCAATGGAGTTAGCAAACAATTGTTGCTCTATTGATTTATTAACTGATGTATCGGGGCGAGCTTTGATTGACAAGGTCGAACTATTTTACTGAGAAATCGATCGATTATTCGAGTTAAGAATGGTGTTACGAAACATATGTTGGTTTACTTTCAGAAGGATGAGATTGGGCTTTTATTGACAAGTTGAGAGTATCTGTTGTTTCATTGTTGTTACTGTCATTTGCAATATGTGCTGTAGTGTTAATCTTGAGGGAAAATTTGTTGCAAAACGGAAGGAAAATAAAATAAAATGTTCTGTTGTGTGTCTCATGAAAATTATTTGATGAACTTTGAGGACAAGTGGAATGATGGTAAGTTCCACTGAGAAGAGAACAAAGCGAGGAGGAGGGTACTGATGCGGTTTGTGATTGGATGTCCNATTCCGACGGTCTCGGATCCGATCGGATCCCACGTCGGATCTCGTCGGAACCGAAACATGGATTTCCTGGATTTTCTAAGGGTCATCATAGAAAATAGCTAGAAAGATCGCTCATAAAATTTGCAACAACCGACGGGATTTTTCTAGTCGGATTCCAATTCAATTCCGTTTCCAGGAATCCGATCGGATTTTGTCGGATGGTCGGATCCGGTAAGATCCGATCGGATCCAGCATCGGATTTGTTGACCTGGGTAATCATATTCTCAGCGGACTTATGGGTTAGTGGTGTATTTGGTTTGCTATCAGGTTGGTTGGTGGATTTATTATAAGAATGATAATATTTGTCTTCGGTTATGACATTATTAGGCAATTTGGTGATGTGAATGTCAAGGAATGGTAGAGTGTTGTTGTTTTCCTCTTCAAATGTAAATACTATATAGTTGTCAAAACTATTTAGAATATCGATAATCTTTTCAACATTGGCATCTTTTTCAACAATCGCAAAAGTGTCGTCAACATAACGTCTCCAATACAATAAACCATTTCTTTTCAACCTAGGCCACAGTCTTTCTTCGAGGTAATTAACATATATGTCTGCGAACAGAGGTCCTAGTGGAGATCCCATGGCAATGCCGTTGATTTGTGAGTAAATTTTGTTGTTAAATATGAATTCGGTTTCTTTCGTCGATGTTTCGAGTAGGTATTTCATTTCGTATCGATTCTTACATAAACGACACCAGTCATCACGTTTCAAGCTACTATAGGTACATGTGTGTTCGGACCCGTACATTTTATCGAGAATTATTTGTATAGTACGATTGAGTGGAACATTGGTAAATAGGCTGGTGATGTCGAACGAGATTAGTTTTATCCGAGAGTTATCAAATTTCAATGACCGCAATTCGTCGACAAAGGTGAAAGTATCCTTGATGATCGACTCATTTTTACGCAGATAATCTAATTTGTTGGCCAACAACTTAGCAAGTTTATAGTTAAAAGTGCCAGATGCTGAAACAATTGGTCGAAGTGGTGCTCCTAATTTGTGGATCTTTGGCAAACCATAAATACGCGCTGGTTGAGAACCTCTCGGACGACAAAAATTGAATTCTTTTTCGGTAATGAATCCTTCGTTTCGCAATTGTTTCAATTTTCGCATTAATCTATCTTCTTGTGTTATGGTTTCGTCAACTTCTACAATCTCAAATGTATTCCGATCATTTAGTATTTGCAACATCTTATTATTATAATCTTCTTTGTCAATTATTACGATTCCTTTGCCTTTATCCGGCCTGGCAATTAAAATTGATTTATCTTTAGATAGATCATTCAGGATACGTTTGAATTCAACAGATTCGTGTTTATGTTTTGTCATTACTTTATCGGCATTGTGACGAAAATTATTACAAACGGATCGTATTTTGTTGGCATATTGCAATTGAATAGGCGTCAGGTTATATTTTATCTCCTCGTCAACATCTTTCTCTTCATAATCTCTTTTATCAGTACAATGACCCAACAATTCAACAAAAAACGTTTCAATGTTGCTGATGAATGTCATTTCGTCGAATTTATCAGCCGGCAATACAAAATTCAAACCATTTTCCAAAATACTTATTTCTTTATCAGTTAGAATCCGCTTCGATAGATTAGTTATTGGTGATAACGTAGATTTGTTTGGTTCACTTGCTGGACGTTGTTTATTACGGAACTTATTTAACTTATTCTGATGGCTTTCCTTAATCTCTAGTTCTTTTGACGCTACGATTCTATGAATGATTCTCTCTACTCGACATATGTGAAGATGATTTAGGTCAAGACAGATCAACGTTTTGAAATTTCTAATTATTCGATACAAACGCGATAACTTACATTTCTTGAGCTTCAATTCGTGGATCACCATTTGTTCGTAACAGTTATTGATCGCCTGTCGATGATGTTGATGTGTCGATGGGATCTTGAATCGCACGAAATCTGGTATAATCTTTTCACGCTTGCATGTTCTTAACAGGTCCAAGTCCAGCTTGGTCTTTGACAATTTTAACTGGTACTTTCCATATAAAAATACATTTTTTCCAATTAATGACCCATAATGCTGCCTTATTATGTGAATATAATTCCATTTCTTTATGGGTAACAATTTGAGAACAAATTTGATGAGATTAACAGCAGCTTTGAATTTCATTTTCATTTATTTCGAATAAGTTTATTTCGAATAGATAAATAAAAATTTATTTGATAAATAATTTCAATTTACAATAAATAATCAAATAAATATCAATATTTTGTCGACGTTTCGAAGGCTAATCCTTCATTATCAAGAC